ACAGCGTAAGTGTTCGTCGCCTCAGCTCGCTTTAGTTGAATAAAATACCAATTCTGAGCCTTGAATTGGCTCAGGATTGGTATATATAGCCCATCACAGTACCTTTTGTTTTGGGTGGTGTAACTAGTTTTGGTTGGTGTTGCACCAACCAAAACTAGTTACACCACCCAAAACCAACTGGTGGCGAATTAGTCCGTGGCAGGTGGACGTTTAGTAGATAGCACAGCTAACGTTATGACATACATGAGCACTATGATCAGATCAAAGTATTATGATCAAACTCACTGTCGCGCCCATGGTCTTGGGCAGTGCTGAGCAATGGGTCATTAATAACCAAGTCGTTTTACTCAATGCTTTTAGCTAAATATTAATAAATTGGAACAATTGTTTTTTTACTAAACCCTCTGATATGTTATAGCAAACTACTACATAATACGGTTTTCGCTTGACAGACATCCGGTTACAGCTCTTACTGCACGACGAGTGGCGTGCAAATTCTGTAACGGACGAAAAATTACGAGGCAACTGCATACAATGTTCAACATGAATTGTGTGTTCCAAATTTAGCAGAATTTGCACGATGCGTGTCGAGTTGTAACGTAATGCATTGGATTGGATGAAACAACCGCAATTTCACTGCATCATGCCTGCCATCTCGCGCCACGCTTCCACCCTCGAGGACATCCGCGATATGCGGGTGGCCGACTCCACCAAGAAAGGGTATAAAAGTGGCTTGAACCAAATCAAGAAGTGGATTTCGGGTCATGGCTCGCCAGCCATGCTCAAGTCTGACGGAACCATCAACTTGCAGGTGTTCCAGTACAACGACTTTCTTGCGTTCGTTCAATGGGTGTACCAAAACACATCCAACACGCCTGGTACAATTGCCAGCTACCTATTGGCCCTTAAGGACCTCTACAAGCGCGAGCACATTCCCGTGCCGGTGGAATACGAAAGTGAAATGAAAGACATCTTCCAAGGTTCGTTTACAATCATTATATTAAATTAACGTTAAATACATAGGCATGCGTCGACATCATGCTGAGCAGACGCAATCTGGTGGCATCAAGGAATCAGGCAAACGACCCATGGGATACTCCATGTACGAGGCTTTGTGCATGGATTCCATCAAATTGATGGACGGTGGGTTTACCCATCTTTTTTTACCCTGTCGTGGAATTTAATGTGTCGCTCCATGTCAACGCAAACAATTCAGCTGGACCACGTGACATTTGAAGAAGATGCGATTGGAATTGTTTTTTGTAAAAGCAAGACAGATCAAGAAGGTGACAAAAGTCGTGATCATCGCCACATTTATGCGAATCCTTTTCGTCCCGATACCTGTGTTTTTTTTGGCTCTGGGTGTCTACTTGGCGAGTCATCCGCAATTGTCCGGTGGGCATCTTTTTCCTGGTGGCAAACAGCGCGACCGTTTTGGCAAGAGTTTGACCCGGCTGCTGGTGGCTTCCTTTGCGTCCGACGTCAGTTCAATTGGAACTCATTCGATCCGCAAGGGTCTTGCGACGTTTGCGTGCTCTGGCAGCACATGTGGCCCGTCAATGGCGAGTGTTTGCTTGCGCTGTGGTTGGACGTTGGGCCATGTTCTCAAACGCTATATTCACTTTGAACGTGCCGGTGACCAATACCTTGGACGAATTGTTGCTGGTTTACCAAATCAGAGTGCCGATTTTGCAATTTTACCGCCCCATTTCGAGTCCGACGTGAACGACAAAGTTGGTCACGCCATTGGCGTGGTATTTCCTGTATTGGCCACGGACAACCGTTTGCACAAAGTGCTGTCACTTGTTTTGGCGTCAATGGTATATCACTATGACTGGCTTGTCACAATTATCCCTCCCAAACACCCTCTCATGTCGTCATCACTATTTTCCTGCCCCGAGATATTTGCAACTTTACAGCCGCATGTTGCTACCAAATCTAAACGCATTGTCCCCTCTGGCATACCACCCCACGTTGATCTGTTCCGAATTATTGAGCGAAATCATTCTGCCATCGTCGAACTACCCAATGCAATATCCGAGAGGATTGAAAACATCATGACCGAGCGAGATGTGACTTCAGGAAATACTACTCGTCAATTCCTGGAGTCAACGTTGTCCAATTTAGTCTCCCAGCTGGGTACACGTCCAGCACAGCCGACTGAAGCTCCTCCTGTGGCTTCAAATGGGTTGTTGTTTACCTGGGGTGGCAGATTGTCCAAGCTACCCATGGGCTTTGAGTTTCCTGCAGTCGACGCTGCCATGGCGTGGCGACTGTGGTGGCTAGGGAATGACAGGAGTGGCCACCCTCCATACAGATTCATCGTACCCCTTGATTTGGAATCGACCAAGCAACGCAAAGTCCTTTCAGACTGGAAGTTCATGATGGGCAAGTTCACCGGCGTTTGCCAGGATGCCGGCATGTCCATGCCCATCCATCCTACTGAGGACGACGTGTCGAGGTTGTTCGTACCGATTGCTGTGTACATCCGTACTGTATGCGATGCAGCGCCACGAAAGAGGACTCGACGTGTCACGCAGTTGCGCCTAGTATCGCTCATCAGGACTCTGCGGAATGCGTCGGTGGCGCAGCAGTAACTTCAGGAATGGACGATATCTACAAATAATTCGATTTTAGCCAATCACGGTTTACTTGACCACCGTCGTGCAAATTCCAATTACAATAACAAAATGTTGCCTGTAACACCTTATCATTTCCTGAATTGTACTATTTTTTCAGAAATTACAGGCGTTACAGTTACTCCATAGAAGAGAAACCATGCGCTAAACTTCAAAGGTTAGTAGACGCAGGAAGGGTTGGTATTCCAGTGATGTTTGGTTGCAATGCCCATTATAGTAGTGAAAGAAGTTGACATGATCATGTGAATGAGAAGTTGGTCTCCAGAGTGGAAAGCATCTGGTACTTTTGAATGTACAGTACATGGTGTAAATGTAGTGCTCACTGTTGCATTCCAAGAGAAATACTACTGTCACATTGGAGATTAGGTACGAATTTCCGGACCCCGATCTGTTTTTCAACCGAATCTCGCCGAACGAACCAGGCATCAATCTCTCCCATTGGTCAATCCGAAATTTCTTGTCTCTGATTGGCTATAATCCATTTCGATTTTCCACTCGAAAGGCGGCCAAAGTGGATACTAGTACTACCCAATCACATGCCTCGGCTTGGTTTGTGCTCAAATGGGAAATTTGAAGAAAATCGACAATAACGTTATATATAAACAGTTATCTGCATAGTTACTGTGTATGGTACGGCCTTGGTGGAGTCCGTTGTATT